GGCCAAGCTCCTTGATGAATATAGATGCAAAAATCCTTACTAAGCCAGGGATTTAGCTCAGTGGTTCTGCTGCCTGCCTCACAAGCACAAGGTCCCGAGTACAACCCCTGCTACCCAAAAAAAAAAAAAAAAAAAAGAAATATAAATCAAGATTAATATAACATCAGAAAAAGCAGATCTATTTGCTGGGCATGGTGGTGCACGTCTGTAGTCCCACCACTCGGGAGGCTGAGGCAGGAGCATCACTGTGAGTTTGAGACTAGCCTGGGCTACATAGTGAGTTCCAGGTCAGCCTCAACTTCATAGTGAGACTCTGTCTCAAAAAAAAAATTAGCTTAACAAGATACTAGCAAACAGAATACACAGGGTCATCAAGAAGATCATACATCCTGACCAAGGAGGATTTATTCCAGGGATGCAAGGATTCAAAATACGTAAGTCAATAAGCTTAATATACTATACTTACTTAAAAGAGTCAAGGACAAAAACCATATGATCCTCTCAATAGATGCAGAAAAAGTATTTGACACAATTCAACACCCATTCATGATAAAAAAAACACTGCAAAAAATGGAAGAGATTATCTATATCTCAACTTAATAAAGGCTATCTATGAAAAACCAACAGCCAACATCATATTAAATGGCCAAAAACTGAAAACCTTCACATTAAAACCAGGAACAAGACAAGGAGGCCCAATATCACCACTCCTCTTCAATATACTTCTGGAAACATTAGCCACAGCAAATAGAAAAGAAAAAGAAATGAAAGTAATAAAGACAGGAGAGGAAGGAGTTAAACTGTCATTATTTGCTGATGGTATGATACTCTACATTGAAGACCCAAAGAATTCCACCAAAAGACTTCTAGACTTAAATGACACTTTCAGTAGAGTAGCTGGATACAAGTTTAACATTCAAAAATCAATAGCCTTCATGTACACAAATAACAGATGCACTCAGAGAGATTCAGGAAATAACTCCTTTCACAATAGCATCCAAAAAAGTGAAGTATCTAAGAATCAATCTAATGAAAGAAGCAAAAGACCTCTACAATGAAAACTACAGCACTCTGAAAAAAGAGATGGCAGAGGATATAAGATAATGGAAAGATATCCCCTGCTCCTGGGAAAGAAGAATCAACATAGTGAAAATGGCCATACTACCAAAACTGCTATACAGATTCAATGCGATGCCAATTGAAATTCCAACAGTATATTTCACAGAACTAGAAAAAATAATACAAAAATTCATTTGGATCCAGAAGAGACCTAGAATAGCAAAATCCATCCTAGGCAACAGAGACATGGAAGCAGATATAACAATTTCCAATTTGAAAGTACACTACAAAGCCACTGTGATAAAAACAGCATGGTACTGGCAAAGAAACAGACCTGAGGATCAGTGGAATAGATTGGAAGATACAGAAAAATCTCCAGATGTACTCAGCTACCTCATCTTTGACAAAGGAGCCAACCATCCTCAGTGGAGGAAAGATAGCCTCTTTAATAAATGGTGTTGGAAAAACTTCATTTCAACCTGCCAAAGATTAAAACTAGACACTTATCTTTCACCATGCACTAAATTAAAATCCAAGTGGATTAAAGATCTAAACATTAAAAAGAGTCACTAAATCTGCTGGAAGATAAGTTAGGCAGAACTCTTGAAGACATTGGCATAGGAAAAGACTTTATAAACAAATCCTCAGTAGCATGGCAACTAGCAGAAAGAATTAACAACTGGGATCTCATCTTATTAAAAAGCTTCTATACTGCAAAAGAAACCATCAACAGAACTAAAAGACAACCTACAATGTCTGCTCCTCAGACAAAGTACTATTATCTAGAATATATAAAAAACTCAAAAAAATCAGGCCTCCCAAATATAAAGACCCGATTCAAAAATGGGCATCTGAAATGAACAGGCATTTCTCAGACAAAGAAGTAAAAGCAGCAAATAAATATATGAAAAAATGTTCCACATCACTGGTCATTCAAGAGATGCAGATGAAAACAACACTGAGATTCCACCTCACACCACAAAGAATGGCTGCTATCAAGAAATCAAACAATATCAAATGTTGACAGGGTTGTAGGGAGAAAGAGACCCTTCTCCATTGTTGGTGGGAGTGCAGACTGGTGCAACCACTATGGAAGTCTATATGGAGATACCTCAAAGAACTAAAATTAGAGGTTCCATTTGACCCAGCCATCCCTTTGCTGGGTATCTTTCCAAAAGAATTAAAAGAATCATATCACAGTGATATATGCACACCCACGGTTATAGCGGCACAGTTTGTAATAGCTAAAAACTTGGAAACAGCCCATTTGCCCATCAGTTGGAGACTGGATAAAGAAGATGTGGTTTTTCTATAAAAAGGAATACTACTCAGCCATACAAAATGAGAAAATAGAGTCAATCATAGGAAAATGGATGGATATTAAGGATATACTCTTAAGTGAAATAAGTCACACATATGTAAATATTGAATAGTTTCTCTGGTGTGAAAAATTATAATTGTACCAAAGATCATAATGGTATAAATGACAATTTGAAATAGGGAGAAAGGAGCTAAAGGTGTAGGGAAAGTGGGAAGGGTAGGGGAAAGCTAATAAGGGAAAAGAAAAAAATATGAGAAAATGAAAAAATGGAAATAAAGTGTTTGTAAAAGGGGAGGGGTGGAGGGGATGATAGGGAGGGCAGGGACAAGGGGAAAAACTGAGAACCAAGACCTGTCATGTAAAGGTACCAGATCCCAATAATGGATTTAACTGTACTGTATACCTAAAATGTACCAATAAACTCAATGAGGAAAAAAAATGGACAACTAAAATGAATAGAAACTTCCCAGAAGAAATACAAATGGCCAATGAATATATGAAAAATGGTCAACATCTCTGGGCACTAGAGAAATTCAAATTAAAACAACACTGAGATTTTATCTTACTCTTGAAAAAACGGTATCACCAAGAAATCAAATAAAAATAAATGCTGTAGAGACTTCAGGGGAAAAGGTACCCTTTTATTACTGGTGGGAATATAAACCAGTGCAGCCACTGTGAAAGCAGTACACAAAAGCCTCAAAAAAACTAAAAATAGAAATTCCATTTCACCCAGCTATTCCCTTTCTACTTATGTTTCTATTAAGGTTTTTGTATGTTTGGGTGGATTGCTTTGTTGTGTTTTGTTTTAGTTTGTTGTTGTTGTTGTTGTTTTTCTAGTACTGCATTCAAACTCAGTATCTTGGGCTTGCCAGGCAGGCATAGTGCTACTGAGTTACATTCCCGGCCCCTACCTACCTTCTAAAAGAGTTAAAGACATTATATTATATATTACAGTGATACACACAAACCCATGTTTATAGCAGCACAGTTTGTAATAGCTAAATCTGGGAAGCAGCCTATATGTCATCAACAGATGAATGCATAAAGAAAATGGTGCTGGGCTACAGGGTGGTGCACGCCTGTAATCCCAGCACTCGGGAGGCTGAGGCAGGAGGATCTCTGTGAGTTTGAGACCAACCTGGGCTACATAGTGAGTTCCAGATCAGTCTCAAATACATAGTGAGACCCTGTTTCAAAAAAGAAAACAACAAAAAAGAAAATGGAGTATTTATACACAGTATTTATACACAATGGAATACTACTCTGCCATGAAGTATAAATTTGAGTAATTTGTAGGAAAATTGATGCATTTTGAAACTAATGTTAAGTGAAAAAAATAAGATGTACTAGCTTAAATATCATAGGGTTTCTCTTATATAAGGAACCCAAAGTTTAAACAAATTAAAGAGCAGAATAGAAGGTAAATAATAGGAAACAAGGAAATAGGTCTTTTTCAAATAGTATGGGGACTGTAGAGACGGAGGGAGGGGAAAGGGATGTAAAGGGGACTTAAAAAATTAAATGTGTTATATACATGTACAAATTCCCCACAATAAATGTAAACATTATTGCAAATATATAGTAATAAAAATGATATTTTTTAAAAAACCTATGGGTGGGCCCTATTTTGGAGGGCAATTTCTATAATCTTGGTGAGTAAGGCTGTTGGCTTCAACTTCATTCCATGGTAGCACTGAGTGGAGATGCAGACACAGACAGATATCTTGAAACTAGGAGGTCATCCTCACCAGACTCGTTATTATATTACTTGAGAATTGTGAGGGAAAGTGGCAATGTGGCTGCCCACTCTTAGGTGAGTCATGCTGTCTTTTCCTGAAATGGAGATGCTTGGGTGTTAGCGGATGAAAATGTAAAACAGTTCTCAGGGATGTTTTAAGCCAAAAATACTGAACTGACACTTCTTTTTTGAAAAGTAACTCAGGCTGGATGCATGGGTCTCAAGAAATTCACTCAGATTGTTCTGAGGAGAAATGTGTCAGGAGCAATCTAGAAGGGAAGGAAGGGCCCTATGTTGGCTTCAATGGGAACACAGCTGCCCAGACTAAAAGATAAAGCTGAGGGGCTTCAGTGGAAATCTGAAGGCAACTAAAGTTTTGGCTGTCCATCAATGTAAAATGGGCAGTCATGGCAGGATGTGAAGCATGACAGAAGCTGACCTAAATCCCACTAACCAAAGTCCTCAGTGTATAGAGCTATTGGGTAGGGCTGCCAAATTTATTTTTCAAAAAATCTAGGATGCCCTGTAAAATCTCAGTGTCAGATCAACACTAAATAACTTTGTAGTGTAAGTATCAGCATAATCCATGCAGTATTTGGGATACATTTATAAAAAATGTATTCCTTGTTGGTGTGATATTCAAATGTAACTGGGCGTTCTGTGTTGGACCTGGCAATCCTAATACTGAGGCAGGTGGAGGCACAGCTCCTGCAGGAATTTCAGGGAGCCGGACCAGGACAGTGTGGTAGCAGAGAGTTCGAGGAGGCATCCCAGCCGAGATGGCCCATCAGCTGTACCATCTGTGTACAACTTTGGGAAGACAAGCTTCTCCACTCTTCTACATCACTTAGCTCCCAGCACAACTCTCAGAAGACTTACACGCCTCTTCCAGTCCTTCTAGCTGGCTCCCACTCTGTCAGATGATGGACCCCAGATGCCCGACGCCTGAGCGCAGCTCTCACAAAGCTGAGTTTCCGGTCGACCGCGTCGACCAGAGAACTGTGAAAGGGCTGCGAAACGGCTGTAAAAGGACAGCCGGCTCAGTAACACCTCCTCCCGCCCCCTTAGGGGTGGAGTCTGAGCGAGGACTGAGTGAGCGGCTCTCTCTCCCCTGACGCCGAGAGGCTGGGTAACATGGAGTCCGGCAAGATGGCGCCTCCCAAGAACGCTCCCAGAGATGCGTTGGTAAGTGCGAAGGATGAGAGACCGGACGTAAAGCCCAGCACAGCCGGGAGCCTGCGACCCAGGCCCAGACGAGGCCTGGAGGGTGGGCTCGCGCGCTGGCGTCAAGCCAGCGGGGTCCGCCGGAAGTACAGGTCGGGCGGGTTCTCCTTGGCCCCCGGGGACTCTCCTGCAGCTCTGCTGAGCCCCTCTAGAGAGTCGCTGCCGGCGGTACGGCGCGGGCCGGCAGCCCTGCTTTGTCTCCTGGGCCTCAGGCTTCCGCCTCGTTGTCTCACCCTATCTGTGAGCCCTGAGTCTCCGTGCCTGGGCTTCTGATGCTAGGCTTCCCCCAGGGCCACATCAGAAAATGACAACCAGCCGGAGTCACCCCTGCCTGTACTGGGAAAGCCAACCTCTGTCATAAATTAATTAATTAATTAATTAAAGTTTTGAGCGAGAGCATATAACTCATTTGGTGTAATCATTGGGAGGAACCTAGCAAAGGGGGACCTTGTATCATACTTAGAAATACTACCTTCCGTCCAGTCTTGATACTCATTACCTAGGTTATGCATCTGGCATTTTTATTTGAATCCACAGGTGATGGCACAGATCCTGAAGGATATGGGAATCACAGAATATGAACCAAGGGTTATAAATCAAATGTTGGAATTTGCTTTCCGTAAGTTGAGAAAAAACTTGTAAAACTTGTGAATTAGAAAAGATCATTTTATTGTAAGAACATTTTCAACCAAATTGTTATTAATATAGAAATAACTAAAGCACTAAAAAAGCTCAGGTTATAGGACAGTAGTGTTTACAGTGTACTATTGTATCTGTTTCAAATGTATCGTATGAATAGGATAATTAGACAAAACCAAAATACATAAACTTTTCTGGAATTAGTGGAACCTTTTATTAAAGTTAAGTGGCCATAAATATTAAGCTCTCTTCATATGCTTAAGGAAAAATTGTTTTGTTCTTAAAGGGTATGTGACTACAATTCTGGACGATGCAAAAATTTATTCAAGCCATGCTAAGAAACCTAATGTTGATGCAGATGATGTCAGACTGGCAATCCAGTGTCGTGCTGACCAGTCTTTTACCTCTCCTCCCCCTAGAGATGTGAGCAAACATTTATTTGAAGTTATTTTTACTTACAGTTTTTAAAGTTGTAGTTCTAATCAGAATTTGTTGTCCTCTTAGTTTTTACTGGATATTGCAAGGCAGAAAAATCAAACGCCTTTGCCACTGATTAAACCATATGCAGGACCTAGACTACCACCTGATAGATACTGCTTAACAGCTCCAAACTACAGGCTGAAGTCCTTAATTAAAAGGGTAAGTTTATAGTCAACTTTGCTTTTAAAAAATTATGGGATATGATAGGGGAATTTGTAAAAAGCAAATTCCTATGGATAATGCAAGAGATCAAAGCTTAAATTTTAAAAAGTTTTAGAGGAGAAGGAACTTTATTGTTCATCTAATCAAGTAGTCTTTTTTCACTTTAGTAAACTGAGACTGAACTCATTTATGGAGTGAATGGCAAAGCTATGCCTGATTCTCAGGTCTCATAACTCCCAATATTTCCTCTATGCTATAGATTTGCATGAGATATGATAATAGTGTAAATAATATACCATGAGGGGGAGTTGGACCAGCTTTCTTAAATAGGACTCTCCCACCACTGAAAAAAATTCTCTATATTAGGCCGTCTTTGTTTTCTGAAATTCTATGCTATGAGACTTTTATTTCTTTTTGGATTAAAATATTAACTAGTGAAGATTAAAAATCACAAGGAGGTTAGCTCCTATCCCCATTCAGATAAGAGTCCAGCTTAAATACCATACATATTTACTTAGATACTCATATCTAATTTTATATAGATATGTACATGTATATATGTTTGTGAAAACTCTAGTTTAAATATTGGATTTAGAACACTGAAACAGCAAAAACAAAACATTCTTGACATGGTTATCCACTAATAATTTCACTCTTGGTTAAGTTGAAATGTCAAATCTTAAGAAAAATAAAACTAACTTTTCTTTTAAATCCCCTAGGGACCTAATCAGGGGCGACTAGTTCCCCGGTTAAGTGTTGGTGCTGTTAGTAGCAGACCTACCACTCCTACTATAGGTAAGTAAAAGGAGGAAATAGCTTTTCTAGCTGGTAAAAAAGAGGTGCCTTAGCACTTGGTTTTGAACGATAATCCAAGTCAAAAAGTGAGTCAGAAATTCTTGTATGTCATCCTCTAGTGAAAGTGTACATAATAGTTGGATTTCAAAATGAGAAAGCTACAGAGTCTGACCCCAAATGAGTATAAAATTGGACATTGCCCAACACCACTGTTGGTATGAATTATTGTACCAGAAAAGAGTTTACCCTCTGCTGTATTGTTTCCATCTTTTATACAGATGCAGTTGCCAAATACACTTAAGTCAGCAGCCTTACTGTTAGAAATTTCTGTATAAAATGGAAATAGTTTTTAAAGGGGCAAAATGTGAAAAGCATAAGGATTTTAAAATATATATGTGTGTGTGTGTGTGTGTATATATATATATTTTTTGTTTTGTTTTGTTTTGTTTTGTTTTGTTTTGTTTTTGTTTTTGAGACAGGGTCTCACTATGTAGTTGAGACTGACCTGGAACTCACTATGTAGCCCAGGCAATCCTCCTGCCTCAGCCTCCCGAGTGCTGGGATTACAGGCGTGCACCACCATGCCCGGCCTAATTATGTTTTTATTACTAACAATTTTTAAACAGTAAGAGACTAGCTTGGGCAACATAGGGAAAACCTATCTTAAAACAAAAAAAAGGTCAGAGAAAGCCCCGTCAAGCTATGTCCTCTGTCCTTTTTGATAGATCTCTGTAATAGTTTGAACATTTTTACTTTCTGTTTGGTTTGGTTTGGTACCAGGGATTGAATTCAGGACCTCCCACTTGCCAGGCAGTCACTGTGCCGCTGAGCTACATCCCTGGCCTTGAACATTCTTTCTTTCTGACACAAGATGTTCTTTTCCCATCTTATGTATTTTCCTACCTTAGTCCTACAATTAACCACTTCTCCAAAGAGCGCTGGTTCCTTTTAGTGGAGAATAGGCTTTAGAAACTATCATTTAAGCCAGTCATGGTGGCATGTATCTGTAATCCCAGTACTATGGGAGGCTGATGCCAGGAAGAATATAACTATGAGCCCAGCCTAGGCAACTTTCCATATAGCTTAGGACAAGGCCCTGTCTCCAAAAAAGGTTGGGGATGTAGCTTAGTGTGAAGGCACTGGGTTCACTCCCTGGTTCTGAAAAGAAAAAGAAATAATTATTTGTTAATGTCATTGTTTGAACAAGGAAAAAGTGTAATTAGATTTCTTGATTTTTTTTTTCATTTTTTCTTGCTGGGTTTCTTAAGAAAAAATAGTCAAAATGCTTTCATTAAAAATTTCCCTTTTCAAAATATGAGAAAATGAAAAAATGGAAATACAGTGTTTGTAAATGGGGAGGAGAGGAGGGAGTGAAGGGAGGGCAGGGACAAGGGGAAAAAATGAGAACCAAGACCTGTCATGTAAAGGTACGAGATCCCAATAATGAATGTAACTGTACTATATACCTAAAATGTACCAATAAACTCAATGAGGAAAAAAAAAGTCCCTTTTCTTTTCAATGTATTAATTTTATAAATCTTACTGCTATAACTTGAATCCTGTAGCCGTTTTATACCTCTAGTATAAGCATTTGATTTTTGAGGTGTGAACTACATCTACTTCTCAGGATATAAGTTATGTTTCAGCATTTTAAACCTATCACACAGACAGGTATGGTGTTGCATGCCTATAATCCCAGCTACTCAGGAGGCTAAAGTAAGAGGATCACAAGTTCAAGGCCAGCCTAGGCAAGGTAGCAAGACCCAGTCTCAGCTAGGGATTTGCTCAGTGACATCTCGCCTGCCTCGCAAGCACAAGGTCCTGAGTTCAATCCCTGGTGCCAAAAAAAAAAAAAAAAAAAAAAGACGCAGTCCCAAAATAAAAATTTTAAATAGTCTGGGGATATAGCTTAGTGATAGAAAGCCCCTGCCTACCACATGCAAGGCTTCAATCCTCAGCACCACAAAAATAAAACCAACCTGATATAGTATTAGATATACATTTCTAATTACCTACATAGGATCTTTGTGAATGGAAATGTGCATATGTAGTCTGTGTAGTATTTTATCATACACTGTTTGTGGATTTGAGTATCAATTTTTAATTTTTTTTACTTTTTGAGACAGGGTCTCACTATGTTGCTCAGGCCATTCTCAAATTCCTGGCCTCACGCAGTCCTTCTGCCTCCGCTTTCCATATAGTTTAGGACTATAGGCATATACCAGCATGTTTGACAGTATCAATTTTTAAACTCCTAGTCCAGTGATGGCAAACCTTTTAGAGTTTTCAATGATAACAAGGACCCACTGTGGAACACGTGGCATAGGTTCACCACCACTGCCCTAGCCTGTTACATGTTTTAGGCAAATTAACAAATTTCAATTGTCAGTTGTGATTTTTATTCCTAGTCATTTGTTTTATATGCTGTAGAGAATTTTAAAATCTAAAATGAGGATGCTACCAAAAACTGTTATTAAAGATGTAAACTGTAAATTGAAAAAATTAAAATTAATTTTATATACTTTAAGACGTGAACATCTACTGTTCACTTTTAAAGCCTTAACTCAACTCTGTACCTTTTTTTTTTTTTTTTTTTTTTTTTTTTTTTTAGATCGAACTCGGGTCCTTGTGCTTGTAAGGCAGGTGGCAGAACCACTGAGCTAGATCCCCAGCTGTATACCTATTTAAATAGTTTAACAATTTGCCAAGAAAACATCTACTTACTGCAAAATTTTACTTTTCTTGACAAAATAAAATACTTATTTTGCCTCATTAAGCTTCACCAAATTCTTTGGACCACTCCTTAATACATGAGAAATCTTGCCTTAAGGATAGAACTATAAGGTACCACCTTCTGGGTTTGGGAAAAGAGCATAGGAACCCAGATTTCTGGATGCCTTTGGGTTTTATTTCTCCTTGGTCCTTAAAGATGATGCTGGTTACACTGTCTTTAGCAACTCTGACCCTGTGTAAAGGACTAGTTCCGGGGGAAAGGATGTATGGAAAGCCTACATCCCCAAAGGAAAACTTAAGACACATTTCCATAAATTTTTTTGATGGAAATGACAGCATAGATATTAAATCTTGCAAAATTAATCTATTAAACAAACATTTGTTAAGCACCTGGTAGGAACAAGGCACAAGAGCCTATGTTCACAAGGATGAAAAATGTTAGTCAAGGCGTATAAGCTAATGAGTGAAATAAGATACTAATAAAAAGACTCCTGTGATGTGTTTAGGGAATTTCAGTGGCAGGAAATTAGCTTTCTAACTGAGCAAATCAAGGAAAATTTTATAAAATAGGGTGAGAATTTGAGATGTGCCTTAAAATAAGTAGGAGTTAGGGGTACAGTTCAGTGGTAGAGCACTTGTGTAAGACCCTGGGTTTGTTACCCAGCACCACAGAAAAAAAGTAAGAAATAGAATTTAGCTGAGGGTTTTAGACTAGGTTGTCTCCAAGATCCCTTTGTGTTTAAAACATCTCTGAACACAGAAAAGGAGTAAGTTTCTTGTGCCCACCTGGCGATCCCAAGTCTATTTGATTGGCTTCTTTTTTGTTAGATGCATGTTGATTTAGATTCATAGGGATAGTAGACATCCTCTAATTCTCAGCAAGTGTCAAACATTAAAAGTGACACCTAAGGTAATTAGTAGATGTCTAGAGTCTTTGTTAGTTTGTTTAACATGTTCTTGATGGGGTCATAATTCATATGTCTCATAGCTGGGGAAGCTCTGATTTGATTCAGTTGTTTCTGACAGTTTGAACCACTGGTGGTATGTGCATGACTGTCCCATCGGGTGGCTGTACCACTTCTCGGGGGAAGGGGGTCTTTGATTACAATCATGCAAATAAAGGCATTGATTTAACAGACTAGATGTCATCATGTTACAATTCTAAAGGAAAACATTAAAATGATATAAAAAATTCTAATACAGTTTATTTGTAATAGAGCAATTATAAATGCCTATTAAATACACCAACAGTGCAAGATTTCCATGTTAAAATTTAGAGAATTAATTATTGATAAACTATTCATGAATATAAATACATTTAATTTAATGAAATAAATCTTGATTACTATAATTTTTAATTGGTATGAATAATATTAAATTTTATATTTGGGCAGTAATTATTCAAATATAAGCAACTAACTAGATTTAGTCTATTTTATAGACTTTTATATTAGTAAAAATTTTGATAAAAATGATAAGATCCATTTGTACCACCAGTGGTACAAGCTGCCTAATGGAACAGTCATTCATGTACCACCAGTGGTTCAAGCCAGTAGAAGTGTATTAAATTCCCAACTTAATCGTTTGTATAGCTAAAATTTGCCTACTCTGTATTAGATGCTGTTTGAAGAACTTTGTATGGGTTATTTTTACTTAATTCTAACAAGAATTTTGTGAAATGGGTACCATTGTCCCAATTACACAGATGAGAAAACTGAGGTACAAAAAGATTAGTTTCCCAAGGAAACCCAACTAAGAGGTAATGAAGCCTTGATTCAAACTCACAAGATAGGCTCCAAAGCCTACATTTTTTTACCACCATACTGTATTGCACCTTGCGGTTTTTATTCATTTGTTTTGTGGTGCTAGAGATGGAACCAAGAAATGCAGACATGCTAGGCAAGTGCTTTATCACTGAGCCACACGCCCAAACCAGTTTTGTAGCATCTAAATAAGTTTGTAAGCTTTTGAAAAGTCACTTTTTTCTTATTTGAAATGATACTTTGTCACCTTCCCTTAGTTTCTTGTGCTTTGAAGATAATTTCTGATAAGCTAATGAATGTAGAATATAAATCTATCTAATAAGTTATCTAATGTGTTCTGTTAATTTTAACTACAGCAGCCCCACAAACAGTGTCTGTCTCAAATAAAGTTGCAACTCCAGTGTCAGTGACAAGCCAAAGATTTACCGTTCAGATTCCATCTTCTCAGTCCACACCTGTCAAACCAGGTAACGCAAAGGTCGGGGGCAGAATTTGTGAGTAATTTACAATTATAGAACAGTTTACATTCTTATCCAAAAGGTTAAATTGTTTTAATATTACACTAGGAAGGTGGCAGTAATGCTGTAAATTGTATGACATTTTACATATATGTAACATTTTCATGGGGAGGGGAGAATATTCGACATGTTCACCAGATTGTCAAAGAATGCTATAAACTAAAAAATGCTAGGGTCCTAAAATTTAGGGCATCTTCAGGGAAAAAGCACTTAAGGTAAAAGCTCGAGAAAATCATACAACTTTGTGACAAATATGTGTGTGTAATCCAGAATGTAAATGTAAATTCAAATGAAAAGTATATCTTTACTTACTTCATAGAAGGATATATAACTATAAAGTAAATATACATATGGTTGGAATCATACTAAATATAATTCTGGAATAGCATAGTCCACTAATGCATATGTTTACATTTTTTTTAATTCAACTGCATACAATAAACAACTTTTAAAACCTATATGAGAAACATGATTCCTGGCCTTAAACATGTGCATTTAGTATGTTCTATGATGAATCCAGTGTACTAAGTACTAATTGAAATTTCAGATAGTTGAAATATAATAAAACCTCTCTAACTTTGCATTAGATATATTTAAGTAGATTTAATCTTTCTATATACATAAATCAGATGACACATTGTACCCTATAACTTACACTTATTAATTTCCAATAAAATAAACATTTAAATTTTTTTAATTAAAACTCTTAATGCAGTGGTGGCACACGCCTGTAATCCCACTGCTCAGGAGGCTAAGACAGAGGATTGCTGTGAGATTTAGGCCAGTCTGGGCTGCATAGTGAATTCAAGATCAGCTGGAACTATACATAGCAAGACCCTGTCTCGAAACAAAAAGAAAAAGACACTTTTAATGCAGTATAATTACCAGTGTTTCTTCTGTGACAGTGATGATGAACCTTTTAGAGCTTTCAATAATACAAAGAGCCCACTGCAGTGTGCATCCTGTAGGTTCACCACCACTGTTGTATGTAGTTGCACTCCATTATATTGAATTTTTTATTAGAATTGCATCCAGCTTTGTTATTTATTTACTTTTGACCATATGTTTTAGATTCTAGGTAATTCAAAGTTTTATGGGTATTTTCTTCTCTATTTACAGTTCCTTCAACCACTGCAGTTCAAAATGTTCTGATTAATCCTTCAATGATTGGACCCAAAAATATTCTTATTACCACCAACATGGTTTCTACACAGAACACAGCCAATGAATCAAACCCACTGAAGAGAAAACATGAAGATGATGATGACAATGACACTATGTAAGACATATAGTCTAGGCTAATCTAGATGCATTTAAAAAGTATAGTTGATTTTGAGTCAGTATACCAGAATAGAGCATTCTATATCTTCTTGTCTTAGAAAACTTAAATACAGCTTTAACATTTTTCACATTAGTTTAAACTGTTAGATTTCTTTAATGAGAATATAAGTGTTTTCTCATTAGACTTGAAGTACAAAAGTACTTGTTTTTTTAAGAGTTTTAATGTTGAGTCCTACCATGGCAATTGTTTTTGAAAGCAGTTTTCTGCCATTTATCACTGACAGCAGCACTTAAGTTTCAGTTTCCACAGCTGAGTCAGTGTTCTAAGTAACACTTAAATAAGTACTTTCTTTTTGTAAGATAAAAACGTCACTAACTCTTTTGACCAAATCTCTCAATTTAGGAAACAGCTTTGGAAAGGATAGATTTAGAGAGGTTCTAAATCCATTCTGAATGTGTTTAAATTCCTTGGTCTTCCCTGATTTCCCATTTTGACTCTTTTTCTACTTCCTACTTGTTTTCTGTACCAATCACCCATAGGCTTAAGTTTCACCCCATTGCCCCTAAATTTAAAAGGTTATAACTGGAACTTTTAAAATACCATTCCTGATAATACAGCTCAGTCACATTTTCATATTTTTAGAACTTGCTTTACATGCCTGATGTTCTGGTTCACTTGAACCTGAAGGTTTGTGTTTGCTCTTTGTTTTTCACTCCATACCAGAGTAGTAATTGGGTTTTACCCCTTGCCTTTCATGCCTCTTGAACTTTACTATGCTTTTGACATATAGTTTTGGGTCAGTTACACTGCCTTGTATTCCAAGTTGATAACTCTACCATATTTTATATTTTTTAGTTAATAGAGATGCCATAGCTGAAAATCTTCCTTGATAAGTAATTTACACTGGACCTAGCAAAATCACTGAAGAAAAAATGTTTTCTTCCCACCACATGCATATATGCTTTGGTCACTACTGCCTAAACCCTCCTATTGTTGTAATTCAGATAATTTTTCTAGCTTGTTACAGAGGATATCACACATAAAGTGAGATCAAACCTGAAAGCAGACTCTAAAGGTTCCCTTTCCTCTGTAAGGCCAACAAGGAAAAAAAAAGCAGTGTCGTATGACTTGCATTTAGGTGCACTCTTCATAAGTATCCCAGTATTGTTGCTAAATACCTTCCAATATTTCCACATCTAACAGTCTTATTGGTAAGATTACAAAGCTTTTTACAATATGAACAGACTTGTTTTATTTAGTTTAAGTAAATTTGACATGTCTGTCATAGGAATACTTATGCAGAATTTTCTGAAATAAATCATCATAAGTAAGAATTTGTAACCAAGGATCCTCAAACTTAGTCATAAATTTCATTTTAGGATGGTGCTTGACACATCTGAGAAATAGTCCAATAACAGGGAAGAAGTGTCTCATCACAGTTTGAGTGTTTAGGGATGTGAGGAAAAAGTAATATAGAAACTTTTTAAAAAACTGATTAACATCATAGGACAGAAATGTTCATTGTATAGCATAGATATTACTTGAATGTTCTCAGGGAGGTAGCATGTCAGAAGGCCTAGGTTCTAATCCTAGCTTCATTATTTACCAACAGTGTGACCTTATTTCACCTCTGAGCCTTGTTCTCCTTACTAGTAATAAGAAAATAATACCTACCCTACCTCCCTCACAGGGATGTTGTGAGGGTTTATTGGTATATGTGAAAAGTCTTTCAAAATTGTAAAATGCCATATAACTATAAGGAATTATTAATGAATTTGTTCCAAAGTTATTAATAAAAAGTTATGCTTATCAGTGATCTTTCATTTCTGATTGAAGGGATTCAAGGAAGGTGAATAAAGTACAGGAATTCTGAGGGCCAAAAAGCAACTGAGATTTTTTTTAATGGATGAATTATATATCAGAGATTTACTTGCTGCTTTTATTTGCAGCATGACTCATAGTAAAGCAAAGTGAAAATGAGTGAAAGAATATATATTTAAATCTGTTAAAAACAGCATGCTCTGGTGGGAATTTGTACATTTAATTGGGGACTACAATCCGAGTTTCCATTCACTTAACAAGTCAGGGTGCCCTTTCAAATGAAGACTGCTACATCTTTCAGATCTCCTGTCCCTAATTATTTCCAGCTAAGTCTGGTTTCAAAAATTTCAGGCAGCTCTTGTTCTCTAGCTTTTAGGTAGGTGGGTGGGTGAGTGAGTGAGTGTGTGTGTGTGTGTGTGCACGCGCGCGCACTTATGTGTGCTTATGTGTGCTTGAGACAAAGTCTCACTACCAGGCTGTCTTCAAACTTGTGGTCCTTCTGCCTTAGCCTCCCACATGTTGGGATTACAGACATGAGCTATGGAGTATCTGACTCAGTTCTTTTCTTTACAAAATGTGCTGATGGTGAATGGGTAAGAAGACTATCATCTCAAGTTCTTCCCTATACAAGAAACAAATATTTATGATCTGAGTACAAAGGAAAAGGCAGCATGGGAGGAAGAATGGAAGACTAGTTCATATTATGGTGATCCAAAGAGAAGTATTCAAGGGCCAGGGATTTAGTTCCACCGCCTGCCTTGCAAGCACCAGGTCCTGAGTACCCACCAAAGAAGTGAAGTATTCAAGTAATATGGAGCAGTGTTCATAATATGCCCCCATTTATATTTTAATATATGTTCATATACACGTGGTTAAGCTCTTTATATGCAGTAAGTAGCTCTAGAATGAAGGAAACTGGTCTTAGAAAGGTTGCTTCTAGGGAAAGAAGCCAGAAGATAAGGAACAGAGGTAAGAATGTATCTTATTACTGTGTACCCTTTTTTGATCATGAGCAGAGGGAAATTTTAGACATGAAAAAGAAATCAGGAAACAATGAGCTAAAGAATAGATTTGAATTCTTTGTTCCTAACATGGAAATATTTTTCTGTATGTATATATATGTGTGTGTGTGTGTATATATACACACACATACAGAAAAAAATATATATAATGTGTATATATATGTGTGTGTGTGTGTATATATACACACACATACAGAAAAAAATATATATAATGTGTATATATATGTGTATGTTTGAATTCTTTGTTCACAACATGGGAATATTTTGCTATATATATGTATAAAATTCTGGGAATTAGAAGTAAATTTATCACTTAAAGCCTATACTTTTATATATTTTATATATTAATTTTATATATTAAATCAGAAAGAGCACACTTGAACTATTCTATTTATATGCTCAGAAGTTGTCCATAATCTACTGTCTTCCTTGACTAACTTGTAAATTCTTCCTGGATATAAATACTGCCTTATATTTACTTCATCACATCTTAGGCATGTAGCAGGTACTCAAATCTTTGGCTGCTATCGTAGTTGTTTAAAACTAGAGTTTCTCAAATCATTCTCTGGATTAAAAAAAATAAATGGGGAAGATCCTGGAAATCTAGTCAGAAGTACTTAAAAGGTACAATCAGAGATGGGCACAGTAGTACACACCTATAATCCCAGCATTCTGGGAGGCAGAGACAGGAGGATCACAAATTCAAGCCCAGCCTAGGCAACTTAGAAAGACCCTGTCTCAAAAAGGGGGGTGCTGGGAATGTCAGTACACCAACAAAAAAAATCAGAGATTGATAGTTGATGGATAATGTTGGCAATTACAGTCTAGGTACTGGGTATATGTGTGGTTATTACAGTTTTTCCATTTCTCTGTGCACTTGAAATAATAATAATAGTTATTCTAGCTCTCTTCTGGTTCCATTTGAATTTTAGGATTGTTTTCTCCAGTTCTGCGAAGAATGCTGGGATTTTGATTGGGATTTGGATAAATCAGTATATCAATTCTGAAATATGGCCATTTTGACTATATTGGTTCTGTCATCTTCAATTCTTTTTGAGAGTACTGTAGTTTTTTTTCCCCCTTTTTCTTTATTGAGTTAATTGGTACTTTTCAAGTATACAGTACAGTTACATTCATTATTGGGATCTTGTACCTTTACCTGACATATTTTGGTTATCATTTTTCCCCATACCCTTCCCCTTCCTTCACCCCCTCTACCCTACCCTATTTACAAAGACTTTGTTTCCATCTTTTCCTTTTTTCACATTTTTTTCTTGTCCTTTATGAGAGTACTGTAGTTTTTGAGGTAGATGTCTTTTATGTCCTTCATTAGGTTAACTCCTTAGTATTTAATTTTTTAGTGCTATTAGGAATGTTATTTTTCCCTCATTTCTTTATCAGTGCATTTATACTTAATAAACAGGAGGGCTGGGGATGTAGCTCAGTGGTGCCACACCTGCCTTGCAAACACAAGGTCCTGAGTTCAATCCCCGGTACCAAAAAAGAAAAAAAAATTAATAAACAGGAACACTGTTGATTTTTGTGTGTTAATTTTATATCCTGCTACTTTATCAAATTTAGTTATTATTTCTAAGATAATTATATCTTAATATAATTATGTCTAAAATATCTAATTTTAAGATAATTATATATCTTAATTTATAAGATAATTATAATGTTGGATTTAGGGGGATCTTCTTTGTAGAAGATCTTATCACCTGTAAATAATGATAATTTGACTTCTTCCTTTCCTATACATTTTCCTTTTATTTCTTTTTCTTGTCAATTACTGTTGCTAATGTTTCAAGTACTATGATATGTTGAACAGGAGTGGTGATAGAGGACATCCTTGTTTTATTCCTGATATTAGATGGAAAACCTTTAGTTTTCCCCCATTTAATATATTAGCAGTAAGTTTGTCATAAATGGCTTTGAGACTAAGATAAGGTCCTTCTATAACTATTTTCTTCAGTGTTTTTATCATGAAAGAATGTTGGAGTTTGTCAAGGGCTTTTTCTGCATCTATTGAGATGATCACACAATTTTGTCCTTGCTTATATTTATGTGATGTAGTGCATTTATTGATTTGCATATGTTGACCCATCTGTGCATCCCTGGGAAGAAGCCTACTTGGTCATGATGTATGATCTTTTTCATGATTTGTTGCATTCTTTTTGCCAAAATCTTGTTGCAGATTTCTGCATCTATATTAATTAAGGCAATTGGTCTATAGTTCTCTTTTTTGGTTGGATCCTCATGTGGTTTTGGAATAAGGGTAATGGAAGCTTCCTATAATTACTGCAGAATTACTTCTTCCCTTTCAATTGCATTAAAAAACTTGAGGAGTATTGGTGTTGGAACTGTCCTGAAGTTTTTGTACAATTCAGCAGAGAACCTGTTTGGACCTGGGCTTTTCTTAGTTGGTAGGTTATTACTGCTTTGATTTCATTGCATATTTTTGGATTTAGGGTTTTTTAAACTTATTGATTCAATGTTGGTAATTCACATATATCTAGGAATCTATCCATTTCCTCTGAATTCTCCAGTTTATTAGCATACAAGTTTGCAAAGTAGATGTTAATGTTTTAATTTCAACAGTGTTCTGATTTCACTTTTTTCATTTCTAATTTCATTGATTTGGGTCTTTTCTCTCCTTTTATGGTTAGAATGGCTAAGGATTTGTCTACTGTTTTTATTCTGTCAAAAAAATCCGAGATTTGTTAATTTGTGTTTTGTTTTATTTGTTTTTTCAGTACCAGGGATCAAATTCAGGACCTTGCATTTTCAAGGCAGGCTCAGTACCACTGAGCTAAATCCCCAGCCCTGGGGTTGGGTTTGTTTTGTTTTGTTGTCTCAATTTCATTTATTTCTGCTTTCATCTTTATAATTTCCTTCTTTGTATTAGCTTTGGGTATGGATTATTGTTTTCCTGGGACCTTGAGGTACATCCTTAGGTTATTTATTTGGACTCATTTTCTTTTTCTGATGTGGGTATTTATGACTAGTTTTCCCCTCTTACGACTGCTTTCATTCTGTCCCATTCATTTTGGTATGTTGTACTGGCATTATCATTTAGTTCTAGAAATTGTCTTATTTCTTTCTTGATTTATTCTGTAACCCATTGTTTAGTTAAGAGTATGCTTTTTACTTTCTATGCATTTGAATAACTTGTTTTCTTTTGTCATTAACTTCTAACTTTATTGTGCAATGGTCTGATAATATGTGTGGTATAATTTCAATTCTTTTACATTTTCTTAAGACTGATTTATTGACTAGTACATAGTCTTATTTTGGAGAAAATTCCATGTACTGCTAAAAAGAATGTGTATTCTCTTATTGGATGGAACACTGTGGTAGCTATCTATTAAGTCCATTTGCTCAAAGGTTTTGATCAACTGATTTTTTTTATTAATACATGTTTGCAATTCATGCAGTTTACAATCAACTTGCGGAGTGGTTACATGTACATATTACAACTTGTTTCATTTTTTTTAATTCCTTTCCCCCTCTCTCACCCTCACCCTCCTCCAGCTCCTTTATCCACCTTTTTATATCTGTTGATATTACTTGTCTTAGCTCATTTTATGGCATATAGAGTTTACAATGATTGATATTATTAGGTTCTTTTACATGGCATCTTTATTCTTATTTCCCCTTCCCCTCCTATGTATCCCTTACCTTTTTCCCCTTGGATCACTTCCCTATTTGCAAGAAATCTGTCCCTTTATCCCTTTCTATCCATCCTTTATCATTTTTTGTTCATATTTTACCTCACTCAAATGAAAGCTACTATACGGTATGTAAGACTGCGTGTGTGGTTTATTTCACTCAACATATTTTCCAGGTGCCTCCATTTTCCTACAAATGTCTCAAATGTGTCATTCTTTATAGCTAAGTAATTTTCCATTATATATAAATTACATATTTTCTTTATCTAATCATCTGTTGATGGGTATTACAGGCTGCTTCCAGGATTTAGCTATTATGAATTATGCTGCTATAAACACTGGTATATGTATATTGCAACAGAATGA